AAAGGGAGCTTGGGACGCTAGGAACCGGGACAACTGGTTGACCTTGCCGGGTGCGGTTCAGCTGCAGGGCAGGGAGGAAGGGGTGGGGCTGGAGGAACCAGAGTTCCCCAGGACCACCTGCAGGGCTCCAGGGAGGGTCTGTCCTGCCCTCCCTGCACGTTCGCGCTCAGCTGTGTGCAGCGCGACAGGCAGCCCCGCCTTCCATTCCGTTTGCTGGAATCCAGACCCTGAGGAGCGTCGCAGCCTGTGACGGGTTGATTCGCAGCTGCTCCGGGGGCAGAATGTGGAGCCCGCCCGGGACATGCCCCCCTGGGCTCGCCGCCTCCTTCCCCTCCTCGCTGTCCTTGCAAACGCGAACTGCCAGCCTCCGCAGATTGCGAAAGAGCCCGGTAGTATGCTTTCTGTCCATATACATTTCTTTTTATGTGCCTTTATTTTATTTCGAGAGAGAGAGACACACAGAGTGCAAGGGGGGAGGGGCAGAGAGAGAGAGGGAGACACAGAATCCAAAGCAGGCCCCAGGTTCTGAGCTGTCGGCACAGAGCCCGACACGGGGCTCGAGCCCACGAACGAGGAGACCGTGACCTGAACCAAAGTCAGACGCTTAACCGATGAAACCACCCAGGCGCTCCCCCCATATATATATATATATATATACACACATATATATATATACATGTATATGTATATATATATATATATTTTTTTTTTTTGAAAGAACGACTGTGCAGAAAGTCAAAAGGGGGACCTTCCAGTGCTGCCTGGAGGGCACCAAGATTTATTCCCTGGGTGTCCTTGCTCCAGCAACGTCCCCCATGTGGGGTTCCTGGATGACAAGATCGGACCCTATAGATTGAAGGCTCCCAGAGTGGGTCCCTCCAGGGCAGGTGACCCAGAAGGCTTGGTTTCCATTAACCCCGGTCCAGGGGCTATCAGTAAAACTCCTATGCGAGGAAATGACAGATGATGTTCCTATGGGGGCACAGCTACGGGGACGTTGCTTGGGAACAGCCTGGGCGAGGTCACAAGTGGGGGACGGGACACATGACGGCCGCGCGGACGGTAATTACATTCCAGGGCGTTGTGAATCTGCTGCTAATACTGGAATGGGTGCCAAAGCCTCAGATGATAACCGTGGTTGCTTTTTATTTTTTCCTTTATTGTTTTCTGCTTTTAAGAGATCGCCTGAGGCTGATTTTCTCCTTTAGAAGGCAGTTGGGGCACGGGAGCTGGGGTGCAGTGTTTGGGGGAGGGGAACTCGGGTGCAGCGTTGGGGGAGGGGAGCTCGGGTGCAGGGGCCGGGGGAGGGGAGCTCGGGTGCATGACCTCGCTTGTGGCTTCTGGTCTGCGTGGACCCTGCGCTGCAAAGCCACACCCTCTTCAGGAGCTGAGTTGTTACTATTGATGCGACCACAACCGTGCCGTGCGTCCAGTTCACTTAAGGGTCTGGATAGAAACTTAGAGATTCCGGGCGTCAAAAGTCCACGAGGACCCAGGTTGGAGTCTCGTGGGGGTAGAGGGGCCGCCTCCCCGCGTTTACTTACTGGACACAATTCCTCCAAGAGCTACTCAACACCACCACCACACCCCCCCCCCCGAACATTGTGGGGTTTTGTGTGTTTGTGTGTGTGTGTGTTTGCGGGTAGGAGAGTGGGGGTCTTCTGGATAAGGCTAGCCGCGAGCCTCCCGCTAGCAGGGACCAGGGTGAACGCGCTCGTCCCCAGGATGTCAGCTGGATCACCAACGTCCCGATCCCAGAATACAGGAGGCTACTTCGTCCCCCGGGGTCGTGGATCCCAAAACATGTGGGTTTGATTAAAAGTCCCCGAGGCAGATCAGAAACAGATCTTGGGACACGAGCCCGATCTCATGCTCTGGGTGGAGAATCATGCTGATGGAAACAACTGCCTCGGGAGCACCCTGCCCCCCCCAACCCCTCTCAGGTGTCCCCAGAGAGCAGCCCCAGGATCACCCATCCTCATACGAGTGAGCGACCTTGCAGGCTGCCCCGTTCGCAGGACTGGATGGTCCCCATACGGGCGCCTGATGCTAGCCAGGGTCACCAGCTTACGCAAGAGGTCCCGGGGAGACCCCCTCCCACCCCCGGCTGCGTGAGTCACGCTCACACATGAGCCCGGGGAAGTTTCCAAAGCTGGGAAGGGCGCACCCAGGCCCTGGGGTCAGGCAGAGGCGGCTGTCAGGGTTCCCACACCCAGTGCATAGAGCCCCGGGTTGGGAACAGGCATTTGAGACACGCCAGGCGGGTGGGGCACATAACACAGCCCCCTCGGCTTATCTGGGACGAGGGGCGTGGCCGGAGCAGGTTGGCGGAGATTCCTGGGCGCTGGAGTAATTGCGGGGTGCTTGCAGCATCCGGGGCGGGGCGCACAGAGCGCGGCGATGGCTATTGGTGAGCCGTCAGGGCCTTCGGGGGGGGGGGCGGGGGGGTGCAGGGGCTGTGCACCTGCCACAGCCCCGCAGAGCCCTGGGAGGGGGTATCTGCGCCCCTCCCCCCGCCTGCACGAGGGTGAATAGCATTCCAGCATTCCAGGCTGTTCCCTGCACGCACAAGGAGCTCACAGAGTCTGGCCAGGCGGAGGGGTGTCCAGAGGGACGCGGCACCTCCCAGACTTACAAGCGGCTCTCTGTGCGATTTGCTCGCATTTGGACCGTGGACCTGCTGATGGGTGCACCCCGGCCTCAGTTTGCCCTCCCCAAGGAGGCCTGTGGCTTGTCCCGGCTCAGGAGGCACCTGCTTGGGGACGTGCCGGCCCCCAGGGACCTGGCTCCCTCAGCAAAGAGAGTAGAGCCCGTCACGTGGTATCGCAGTGGGGCGCTGACCCCAGGCGGGACCTGCAAACGGGCTCCAGTGCGGGTGCAACCCAGGCCCACGCGAGGAGGCCACCCGGTGTCGGGGGGGGGGGGGCACCTTCTTCGCCCACGCTCAGGCTCCCTCCCGGCGCAGGGTCAAGGTTGACGCTGCCAGGGGGTCCAGTGCGAATGCTGAGTCTGCCCTCAGGCTCCTGATCTGCACCCTGCGCATGGTAACTGACCCACATGCTGCCGTGTGCAGAAGGCCTGCGTCGTGCAAATGCAGGATCGCCCAGGGTCACGTGGGCCAAGCTCAGACACATGTGATTCCCTTCATGGCGGCATCTAGTCTCCGCCAGTCTGCAGACGCAGGAGCAAGCCGAGTCCTGGTCCCTTGGGTCGGGGCTGGTCTGGGTGTGCTTTGCAAACACTGGAATCTTCTGGAAACAGAGGCGGTGGCCGCAGAGGGGATGCTCCTGGGTGTGCTTTGCAAACACTGGAATCTTCT